GCACATCTCACACACAGTGTTGAAAGTTAATGATGGATTTTAGCTTATGCATTTAAACATATCATTTTTTTCTTAAATAGAATCAGTTCTATTACTCTAATATTTGATAATAGAAAGTTCTAAAATGTCATACCTTTGAGAAAATATGATTTATTACACAATTCAAGTAGATTAAGACATAATTGAAAAATAATCTAAGTAGTCATTGAAATAATTAGTCTATCCGACATTTGTTGCTAATGACCATATTCGTAAAATTATTCGTAAAATCAATCATTATCTAAGTGAATGAGGGTATATATGATAGGTCATGTAAAAATATGTGTCATAAAGGAAATAAAATATACTTGGACATATTTCAAAATTTTATATATAAACTAAGTCATGATGGTTGAATGTTTTCAATATTTATAAACTAATGAAAAAAAAAAGTTCTCAACAAACAAAAACTACATTTGAAATGATCTCTATAGAGGGACGGAGTATATAAGAGAAAGAGCAATGCTAGGGGTACATCATATTTGGTGTACCCCATTTGTCCCCCACCCCTTTTTCACCACTTATTTTTACCTCATTTTTATTTATTTAATTTTGTTTTAGTTTCTTGCCCATTTTTGTAGTAATGGAGGGGGTGGGGATAAATGGGATACACACCCCTAGCATTAGAAAACCTCCCCGAATATTCACCAAACCTTTCCCTAAATATAACTTCTCAATTTCCACCCACTCTACAAAATATTTACCGTACGCACCACCCCGACACAAGCAGCTTCATTTATACTCAAATATCCCTTGTTTTAGTGCTATTTAAGTAAATTTCCATATTGGGTAATATACCTTTCCGTCATGGGGAATGGCTAGAGCGGTGGCTAAGAGTGAGTAGCCGGTGAAAACGCCAATTTCCATTGTGTTCTTGGCATTGATCAACTTCAGAAGCATGCTCAAGAACTGCCCTTCATCCGCTGATGTTGTCATCAGATTCCTGCATTCATTCATTCCCTCCATTCATTAACAAAATATTCCACACTTCTCTAGAGAATTTAAAAGAGAAAATAAAAGAAAATGAGATATACGGAGTAGATTTTTTTTTGTTTGGATTGAGAGAAAAAGAAAAATACAAGTCAAAGAAAACAGAATTCCTCACATTTGGGTGGAAAAATATTGAGAGAAATTCTTTTTCTTTTCTTTGTCTCAAAATTCCTTGAACCAATCGCGCCCAATATTCCTTGAACCAAACATAGAAAGAGCACCCAATATTCCTTTATCTAAATGCTATCTACGTCCTAAAACATTTTACTTTTCATGGTCAAACACTACATTATTTGACTGTGATTTGTGAAATAAGTATATTTGGTTATAATGTAAATTCAGTACAGCCTGTAATAAGGTTTATTTTGAGAAGTAAATTTGATATTTCTCAAATATAATTTATGTAGAAACTAAACTCACCATGGATGTTTTGCTGTGATTTCTCTAAGCTCCTTCATCTGCTCTGGCTCTCTTGGGTAAACGCTCGTCTCAAGTATATACTGCACAGTACCACCAATCATACAAGTAAATTAAATTTAAAACACCTAAAAGGCTGTGAATTTTATTTATCCTTACAGGGAAAATTATAAATTGAGTAAAAAAAGGATCGCCAATATATAAATTGGTTTTGAATTTTGTTTTTTACTATAAGTCTATAACTAAAGTCTAAATACCTGATAGAGAGCATCGCTTTGCAGAAGGCTCTTGTGGCCGACTTCCTGGTGTCTGTTGGTCTGGTTCTGAGTGGAATCGCCGCCGTTCTCCGCCATGATATTTGATTCTCCGGCGAGTTTGAGTGTTTTAATATAGGTTCACCTTGAGCAGTAGTCGTACGCTTTATTATTGGTGCCTGATCAAGTGAGGGGAAAGTGGGAGGTTATTTATGCATGAGAGTCTCCGGTTCACGCCGGGTTTTTTCTTCTTCTGTATTAGTCAGACCGCCAGCAGCCCGGTCCGGGGTTGGTGAGGGAAATCCAATGACTTGTTATAGTGGTGGGTCCCAGTGGAGTCGTTGAGGTGGTGGGTCATCATTTTCCGGTCACCAAACTTGCGAAGACTAAGCATCCAAAACTGACCTCACGATCGCAAGCACCAACGGACGGCGCGGATTCGCCCAATTAGGTGGCGATGGACTTCGCACCTCCGTAATCGGCACGTGGCAGGGTTGATAACCCGTTTTGTCATGTTCTTGCAAATTCAAAGGTCCACGGAAATCGAGCCACAAAAATGAAAAAGCCCTTTAATTTTTTTTAAATAATGTCATTAAAGTCTCAAAAATACTCTACCTCCGTTCTTTAGTATTTGTCCACTTTTGATTTTTTGCAGTCAGTCATTTTTAATTTTTGATCTATAATTAAATAATATATCTATTACTCTGTATATATTAATAATATGAAAAAATATTTTAAAAATATTTTATAAACTGAATCTAATAAAATAATTTTTATATCAATATCTAATATCACTTTTATTAAATTTATGATCAAAGTTTGCCAAATTTGACATACAAAAGTCAATAATGTACAAATACTAATGGACGGAGTACTTTCTTTCATCAACGTGCAAAACTTTATTACTTTTAAAATAGTTTTATTTATAAATGGATAAAGAAATAAAAAAATTATATCTAAAAACTACATCAAAGACTTCACAAAACAAAAGGTACAGTAATAATCCTTCTAAGGACGGAATTGAAGGAGCATTTAAGTCATTCAAGTATCATATTTTGTGCAAAATGCTAGTATCTATTTTTCTCTTCCAATAATATCATCAAACTTCTCTCTACAATACTCAAAAATATCATTCAAATATTTTTAAATAGCCACTATTCTTTTTAACAGGAAATTTTTTTATTCATTTTCTCTAATTATATGCATTTTCTAAAGCTTTTTTTCTATGCTTCAATGGTACTTCTAGCCATCTATGTCCACAAAAATTAATTGTTTTAAAATATAGTGAAATGAGACGATGAAAGTGATACAAAGGAGAGAAAGATATTGAGTCAAAAAAATCTTTCCAAAAAAGAAATAATCAAAACATGAACAAGAAGATTGGGAGAGGAGTATATGATATTTATCATTTTTCCTTATATATTAAAAATGACATATTCGTTACATTACTAAAATATTTATTAATTTATTTGTTATCTTTCTAATAAGTTAACATGTGAATTGAAAACTATCTTATCCAAACAAATACAAATATCATACTCCATTTGAAATTGTCAAAATGAAAGTGATGCCTATGTCTATTGGAAAAAGATTCTACACACTAGAGATTCTTTTGTGAATATGGATAAATATGTTCCCTATAATGCAAAAAAAGGTTATCAGTGACTTTTGGGGCATATGCTGAAGGTTAACTAGTCAGAGATGGTTTGGAAAAAACTCTCCATCACAAAATACAAATCTATTCTCTGGCTAATTTGTAGGAACAAACTTCAGATCAAAAGCAGATTGAGTAAACTGTTTCCAGTTGACACTCAAGGTTTGCTCTTCAAACAGTAGACGAAGATAAATACCATCTCTTTTGTACCTGTCCCTATACTAAGGAACTTTATAAGAGGATCTATGCTTAGATCTAAAATAGGAAACTTTTATAGGAGGATCTATGCTTCGAGTCAACACCAATTTGAGGGAGGCTGTATTCGAGAAATTTTTGGGCAACTTCAGAGTATTGCTCCTCTGAAAAAAAGAAGGAAGATTATAGCAATTATTTTTGGTGATTATGTTTACTATATCTGAAAAATTAGAAATTTGGTCTTGCACACAAACATTCTTATTCCAATTGAGGAAACCATATATGCACTTATTTGAACTCTAAATCATTAGGTCTTGTCAGAATGATATGTGTTTTTTAACTCTTTGGTAGCTTAGTAATTGTATGTTTGTTTTCGTAGATGTTGCTTGTTTGTTTCTTGGTACATATTGTACATTATGAGATAGATTGATCAATAAAATTTGCATTTGGTTCAAGAAAAAAAATCATACTCTTCAATTTTTGAAAAAGTAAACTAAGTTAAACTTTTTAAGAAAAATTCAAAAGAGAAAAGAAGAAACTTTTAGTGATACTTTTAAAATTTTAGAGAGTTTAATGTCATTACTAAAAAAAGAGAGAATGACACTGTAAACACCCCCCTAGTCGTAAGTGTCCTCTCATAGGATTCTAAACTGGTACAAACCAACACAAGACTTTCCCGCACACTTTGTCCTCACTCGTGCATGCCCAAGGAACTTCCCAGGGGTCACTCATCTAGAATTGCTCCAAGTCAAGTGCGCTTAACTTTAGAGTTTCTAACTGACGAGCTCTTGAAAAGAAGATGCATCTTGTTGGTATGGGTAATACTATCAATTCTTTTTTAGCCTTTTCTTTACCCAATCCATTTATTTTCAAATCAGGGTATTATATTCACCCTCACTTAAGAATGCAACGTCATCGTGGCATCCTTTTTTTTCAAACTCCTAGGTCTTCACCGCTAGGTGAACTAAGCTCTCTTGGCCCGTCACGGTCACATGGTTGCTCTGATACCATTTGTAACACCCCGGCCACCACCCTGACCGTAAGCATCCGCTCATAGGATTGTACACGTACTGGCCCACAAACCAGCACAAGTCTTTCCCATGTACTTTGTCCTCACTCGTGCTGCCCAAGGAACTTTCTAGAGGGTCACCCATCCTAGAATTACTTTAAGTCAAGTGCGCTTAACTTTAGCGATGGGACGTGTGGTCTTCCCTAGGCAGCACGACCCCCAATGAGAGAAGACATTGTTGGGGGAAACACCTAGAAATAACTGGCATCTTCTGAGTGTTGCTCGAGATGCTTTCCGAATATACTGCATAACACGACATATGGTCTCAAACACACCCCGACTCAACGTTGGGGAAAATTAGGGACACACCACCGTATGAAAAACATAAGGAAAAGATAAATCCTGAGGGTAAGTTCCCTAGGAGAGGCCTATTCTGGGAAACAAGGTCTATCTGATAGTCGGATCTCACTTCAGCACCAGAAGGCATCAGAATAATTGCGAAGGAACCAAAAAACAAAAGTCGGGCAAGAAAGGAATGTCATTACACAATCAGATCCAAGGAAATACTAAACGATACTACACCGAGTCTTACTATAAGAAATTTGCAAAAGAAAGAAAGGAAAAAACATGCTACTCGGCGGGAGGTTCCCCTAGCTTAGAGACCACCTCCGGCTCGGTGAACTTCTTCCAAGCTGCAACAAAATCCCAAGGGAACGAGGGAGCAGTAAGGATGAAGCTGGGAGAGGCCTTGGGAAGAAGGATCGGCACAAGCTCTGAACACAGTGACAAACGTCTCTCCTCGTCACCCTTCCAAAAGCTACCGATGGCAAGATCTCCCAAGAAGGATTCACTGGCTGGGAAGGACTCAAGGAAGTGGATGTCATATTGAATGATGATCTTCTCCCAAGTGGATTTCTCCCACGAACTTGGGAAGCTCATGGCGGGCATTATCCTCAAGGGAGGAAGCATATGCAAAGGACTATTGAAAGCGAGCCACCGCCTCCTTGCAAAACTCTCCGCATTGCATGTTAGGTTAGACTCCCTTGTGGGGAGATTGACGTGATGGAACTTGATCCCAGCCGTCTTCGGCAAACCGACCAGCTGCTCTGCCAGGGTGGCCCGTTTGTGCAACTCGAGACGCTTGACCTGACAACTATCGAACTGCCCCTTTAGCTCCATGGCAATCTCGTCATCTTTCTCATGTTGGTCCCTTAGTCAGGCGCACTCTTGAGACGCTTCCTCCAAGGACGACAAAGCTCCTCCATCTTCTTCTTCCGGTCGAAGGTTACTTGGGAAGTAGACACAAGAGCCTGCATAAGATTAAGAAGAAGATAAGGACAAGGTGAATCGGATCGAGGCTATAGTTGGAAGGGAGCAAAGGGAATTAATAACGTAAGACTCACCTGCAAGCCATCCAACAAGGCCAATTCTTCCAAATCATCAAGATTGTAACCCTCGAAATATACCGAACACAACTACTAACGGACTGACTCGTGAAAGGTACTGGCATAACGTCGTAGCTTTAGCCGATGCCCGATCGGGGAGTCTTGACAACCACCAGCGGTGCCACTGTGTTTGGTGAAAACCCCCACCCTACCCTCGCCCCTGCAGCCCCACCCCAACCACATCGTAAGCCCCTCACAAAATGTGTGGTATTATGCATTGCATAATAGCCACACATTTTGTCCTCACAAAATGTGTGGTATTATGCATTGCATAATAGCCACACATTTTGTGGGGGGCTTACGACGGGGTTGGGCTAGGGGTGCAGAGTTGGGGGTAGAGTTGGGGGTTTAGAGGGTGGGTTAGGGGGGGGGACCGTCAATTTTACGAACAGACCACCTAAAGTGTCCCAAAATAATAGTGGCACTGGAGTGTCACCGTACTCCAGTGTCACTAGAGCGGTAGTACCCCACCATTATATCTTTTATAAGATTTTACTCCTATTTATGAAGTTTCCTTTTTTAAAATTAAAATAGATTACAATACCCCCCCCCCGTCCCTAAATATTTGTCACACTTGTATATCAAGTTTTTTCAATTCATTTTATTTACATATTGGTATAGAAATAAAACATAAAATTTACATATGAAAAAATTACATGAATAATTCTTCGAAATAAGAGGTGTCAAGAATATTTTATTTTATCAAATAACCAATGAAAACGTAGAAATAAATAAAAGTTTCTGGCACTGCTGAAAAAGCAAGTGTGGCAAATATTTTGGGACGGAGGGAGTATTAAATTAAAAATGAGTAAATTCCATAATTGGTCCTTTATAACAGAGAGGTTTCCATATTTAGTCCTCTATTATAAAATATTACCCCCGTAGTCCTTTTTTTAAGGGTGCCTTTCCACAAATGGTCCTTTTTTTTGATTTTCTGCCATGTTGGTGTTAATTTAAAGGCTAACAGTATAATTTGGCATCAACATTATGTCTAGTGACGTATACCACATTTATAGACTATGGTTCTAGTGGAAAGCGATTGTAATTCACAAACGACGCAAACCAAACAATCTTTGGAATTGTGCACGACAAAAAAGATATATTATTAGGGCAATGCTAGGGGTACCCCATGTTGGTGTACCCCTAGCTTAATTCATATTATTATTAGGAAACTACACTTTTAGCCCTCAAATTAACAACAACATGATAGAAGATCAAAAAAAGACTATTTGTGGAAAGATACCCATAAAAGAAGGACCACAAGGGTATATTTTATAATAGAGGACTATATAGGGAAATCCCCATGTTATAAAGGAACAATTATGGAATTTAGTCATTAAAAAGAGTATACCAAACAGATACCTAGAACTAGGGGTGGACACGGTACCGGTACGGTACGTGACCGGCAACGGTACCACCGGTACCGCCACCGTCACTGCCGGCCGGGACGTTCCACCGGTTTCGGGAACAGATACCGGCACTGCCCCCCTTAGTACCGGTTCCGGTACCCATTTTTCGGTACCGGCATCGGCGGTACCGGTACCGGTTTAGGTACCTATTTAATTTTTTTGACTTTTCCTGTCCATGGGCCCTGCAATTGGCTGCAAACCTGCAAAAAAAGGACAAAACATTAGTGGGATGGGGGGTCCCCTCAAACGGCTATAATGTCGTTGAGGAG